CAAAGAAAAAAACAAAATGACAAAATGAGGTGTTAAGGGAAGAATTTAGACGCCTATTTTTGATATGATTGTGATCGCTAGTTTGATTGTTTTTTTCTTCTGCTTAACAATAACAATGGTTCGAAGACAACGTTTGGTATACGTAATTGTTTTTACGAAGAATATAAAAAAAAAGTTCAAAATAAAGAGGAATTAGTGAGGGTTATTTAATTATAAAACATTTTCGCGATTTTCAGAATTCTATAACTTTTCTGTGAACGAAGAGTATTGTGTAGTTTCTGGCGGCGGGATGCTTATATCCAGTATTTTCAATATACATTTAAAAGCTCTTTAATCGTAAACAAAATTTTTTTTTGCATTTTTTATTAATTCTGAATTATTCCCTTTTTTGACATGTAAATTTATATTTAACTTTAAGTTATTTGTGATGTTCTTCAGTTATTTTACGGTAGCTTCTTTCTCGTAGTCGTGTTGGTTGGGGAAAGGACAATCTTTTTTTCTCATTTTAGATTGACATGTGTATTAACTAATGATGAGCGCTAGCCGCAAACGGAGTAGTGATGCAGGACCGGAAGAAGTGCTAACTTCCTCGTATACCGGTGATGATGAAAGCCAAACACCCGTACCTGAACAGCCAGCGGAAATTTACAGTGGAAAACCGGCTGTTTCCGATTCTGAAGTAGATTTCTACAATGTAAGCAATTTTGTTTCATCTCCTTTCGTCTTTTATTATTAAATGAAATATTAATGTGGGATTCTACTGTTTTGTGTTTCAAGGCTGAGCCATCAAGTACTAATAAAGAAGCAGTAACTCCTACCGTCCCTCCAAGATGCAAAAAGCGTCGCGTTGCTGAATTGAAGTGCTCTGAAGTGAGGTGGTTTTACAGAAGAATTGGAGAGACGAAGTGGACGGCATTCAGAGGTTTTTTTTGGGAGTTTCATATCTAAAATAATTAGAGTGTAGGAGAGTGCGTCGAGGCATTTGCAGGAATCTTCAGTTTCTGAATTTTAGAAAACTAAACTTAGTCATTAGTTTTTTTTATTTTTTTGGGAGGGGGGAGGTTTGAAAGTTGAAGATGTTTACAAAGAAAAAATTTAAGCTAATAAAAGTTGACTTAAAAATATCTTTCTAGTTCTGAAGAGCTCTACAACACTAAGGTCTAAAAGTTGCTTCTAGCAAGAAATTTTCAAAGCAATGCATTTTAAGGTAGAGACTCACTTTTTCTTGAAGTGTGCTGGAGAAAAAACAATAGCGTCGAGTTAGACAGTGTTACGAAAAAGCACTTATCTTTATTAAAACATTGCGACAATTTAACTTCAGTAGTCGTTCTGGATGGCCATTACAGAAGCAATAATGACTTCAGTCTTGTGTCCGCTATTTATTGGAAAGGTGACTTCTTCAACACCTCTTGAAAAAAAAATTTTTTTTAAATATCATATTGGTGCTGTGGTCTTACCATAAATTTTTCAGTTTTTTTTTTTTGTTATAGATGACGATATAGAAATTAGACGAGGAACTTGGTTTTTATTGGACACCCTCCAACCAATTACGCCTGAATTAGCAGAACCAATCGAAAAGCATCATTTGCGCTATTTTAGTCTTCAGGTTATTCCCGACTCCCCAGTATTCTCAGAAAAAGAAGCGAGTAGGAAACCAGGTACTCTTGATCAGTATCTACTACAAGAATCATTATGGTTTTTCTCCAGCATACGATTCTGCTTTAACCATCAGATATTAATAATTGTAACTGTGTTGACGATATCCTTTACTTTGAGAAAGTATTTTACATTGATTGGTTCGAAGTTAAGTTAAAAGTTATACGAACTACAGATTAAATGGAAGTTATTGTCACACTTGAACTAATAGTTTGGAAAGTTTATGAAATGCCTCACTTCCATTTTTTCTTGACAGTCCGTTTTATTCGTTCTGAGCCTCTGTCTAAGGAGAATCGAAAATTTTCAGAAACTGGGTTGGAGTTCAAGTTTTTTTTGTGGTGAAATCAGTTTTAGCTGTCTTTTGAAACATCATCAGTTTTCTTGAGGATAATACAGCACTTGTTCTGCTCATATCTCTTCAGTAGATTCATTGTACATAATTCACGCCTCCTAAAGTTATGTAGAGGTGTTAGCATTCTGTTCAGCTTCACCAGGAAATGAGGAATAGTGTACGATATCCGTAATTTCGGTAATGGCAGTTACAATACGATTCTTTTACCCACACACGCATCTAATTGTTAAATACATTTTATAGTTACTGTAAGTAAATTTGCTGAAGACCTACCTGAAGTGGAAGTTTTCTCTTTTCTACGAAATTCCCCAAGTATTATTCTCAGTTCTGTTTCTGTACTGCATATTACCTAAGACAACTTCAAGGGTCCGTTGTCTTGGGAACTTCCTTTATCTCCTCATTGACAGTTTCATATTGCATAGTGGATCTTTGCGCTGCATTTGTAATTCGATTTGCTAGCAGGAAAGGCTTTTCTCACCGGGTATAAAATCATCTAAACATAATTTTGATCTGCTTTATGCCTTCTAATAGCTTCAAAAAGCTAGAAATTGCTGGATCAGTGAGACTGCAAAATAAAATTTTGAAAGTACAAATGAGTTAGGATGTCAAAAGCCGTTGATAGAGTTTGTTAATAAGATAGGCAGAATCACCTTCCTTTACTTTTAAAACTTGTTTTAAAGTATTCAAAAGACATGGTTCTATGAACAGATTTAATTTCACTTTTGCACATCACTTTAAGATGGGAACATATCTTTTTGTGATCCAGTTCCTACCGCAGCTGTAATATGGCGTCTGAAAGGTCTTCTTTTTTTTTCTCAGTAAAGGCTTGATGTCCACTGTATTTGAAAGATTAGCATCATTGCTGTTGAGTGATTTGTTTCGTTGCTTGCTTAGAATCATATTTTAAATCCTAGTTCAAAGTTTTTGATTTTCATGTGAGTGCAGTGCCTACAATTGGTTGCTCTTAATCTTTGCTCCGAAAGTTCTGACGGTAATTACCCACTCTTACATAACTGTGAGGGGAATGACACTTAAACACTTAGCATCTACAGTTGTTTAAGTTACACGGATAGAACTCCACTTGTTTAGCATTCTAAGTTTTTTCCCTGTTTACTGACCAAAGCTGTAATTTGCTCAGGGTCAGACTGGAAGATATTATGAACTTTGAAGAGTAAGCATATCTTTAGCATTACCAATATTGTTAATGAATTTAAGAACTTAACATGTCGTGTTGTGGTGCTGCCAAAAAAAAAAAAAAAAAAAAAAAAAAAAAAAAA